GCGCTCCAGAGACTTTGTCTGGTGTGCGCATATGGACACACACACACACACACACACACACACACACACACACACACACACACACACACACACGACACCACGCTACCATTAATTCTCTGTGCGACCTCGCAGGGGCGTCCTGGGGAAGCAAGGCTACCAGTGTCAAGGTGAGTGTTTCTCCAGGGCCGATCTCGATTCAAACATGAATAAAATGGCGAAAAACACAAACATCGTGAAAGACGTGCCACCGAACACCCGTTCATCGCCGCCGTGCGCTCTCGGCAGCCAATAGTTACGCGACGACCACAAAGAAGAAGTCTCCGCGAGGCATCGCCGACGACATATCATGTTGTTGTTTTTCCGGCAGTGTGCACGTGCGTTGTCCACAAGCGCTGCCACGAGCTCATCATCACCAAGTGTGCCGGCATGAAGAAGCAGGAAGACACCCCGGAGGAGGTCAGCAGTCCGCATATTTGCTCAAGACGCGTGGCAGCATTTTGAGCCCTCTCTTCCTGTGCCCCCCCGCGCAGGTGGGCTCGCAGCGCTTCAGCGTCAACATGCCGCACAAGTTCAGCATCCACAACTACAAGGTGCCCACCTTCTGCGACCACTGCGGCTCGCTGCTGTGGGGCCTCCTGAGGCAGGGCCTGCAATGCAAAGGTGAGTTTGGGCGGCGCTCGGAAAGGTCGGCCGTTGATGACATCATCACAATTTGCGGCTGCTATTTCCCCGATTTGCAGTGTGTAAGATGAACGTGCACAGGCGCTGTGAGAAAAACGTGGCCCCCAACTGCGGCGTGGACGCCCGAGGCATCGCCAAGGTCCTGTCCGACCTGGGAGTCACGCCCGACAAGATCTCCAACACGGCGCAGCGTCGCAGGAAGGTACGACGACCGCAAAGTGAAGACAATTCATCGTCGGGGCGAAACCTTGAGGAATATAAACATACTGTTGACTTTGGGGAAAATATTTCTGATGTTTTTGGTTTGTATCGAGACTGACAGCGCATGTTTCTGCAGTTGACGCCCGGGCAGGACCCTCCGCAATCTCCTCCGGAGCTCTCGCAGACGGAGAACAGCTTCAGCCAGCCGGCTGTCCCCACCTCGCCGTCGCAGCAGGGTAAAGATGCATCGGCTTCATCGCTGGGGAACGGCAAAGGCGCTTGATTTCGAAAGATGACGACTCGAGAAACATTCGCTCAAGACAAACATCAAACACCCTTTCGGCAAAGACGCTCCATTTAGAAACACTTGACAAATATAGAAATCACTTGACGATGGGCGCAATCATCAAAGAGGCTTCATTTAAAAAAGAAAAAAAAAAACGATTTTTTATTTTGTATTGTACAAGCAAGTAACGCGGCTTGGCAATCGACGTGAACAAATGTTGCGGCTTCTTTTGGAAGAAGTGTGAGTGGCCCACCGGAGAGCCAACCTGAGGAATTCTAACGCGCCGCCCACCGCCATTTGCTCGTCGCGGTTAGTCATCAGCGCCTCACACTTTTCCCTCGCTCAAGTTGACTTGTTTTATTGTCCAAAGTGCCGATGCCGCTCAAGGCGACTTTTTCAACCGTTTCATTCGTTTTGCCGCCGCATGTTCTCCATTCGGAATTGAGGGTGACGCTTTCCCAAAAGTGATTGCGACCGCCCTGCCAAACGTGTGCCCCGTTCGCCCGCAGACTTGGCGGAGTTGGATCGGCTGCAGGACACGCTGTCGCTGGACCAGCAGGGACCCCAGCACTCCTCGTCGTGCTCGTCGTCCTCCTCCTCCGCCACCTCCACCACCTCGTTGTCCACCGCGTCGTCGACGGGCGGCCGCGAGAACGGACAGAGCCAACGGAGGACCCTCAAGGACTTCAACTTGATCAAAGTTCTCGGCAAAGGCAGCTTCGGCAAGGTCGGTTTGATTTTTCACGTTTTCGTGCCAAAACCCGACCCGTCGGGTTCTAAACGACGCTCGACAACGCTTCATCTTAAAACCAAACTTGGGTCTCGTTGTCGAGGGTGATCTGACCCGTTTGTGTCCCGGTTTCAGGTGATGCTGGCCGAGCTGAAGGGGACGGAGGAGGTTTACGCCGTCAAGGTCCTGAAGAAGGACGTGATCCTGCAGGACGACGACGTGGACTGCACCATGACGGAGAAGCGCATCCTGGCTCTGGCCCGCCGGCACCCCTACCTCACTCAGCTCTACTGCTGCTTCCAGACCCGAGTAGGAAACGCTTGACTCATGAAAACATCAGACGGTCTTCGAAAGGGGTTGTCAATCAGAAACCTCAAACGCAATCTCAAACCACGTGACTCATCTAGAAGCTTTTTAAATTTTTTTTTTCCCCCCGACCGTCATTACGAGACCTTGCCTAAGTACTGTTCAGTTGCTCGCATGTCATTTGTGTTCGGCAGGACCGCTTGTTCTTCGTCATGGAGTACGTGAATGGCGGCGACCTGATGTTCCAGATTCAACGCTCACGCAAGTTTGATGAGCCGCGCTCGCGCTTCTACGCCGCCGAAGTCACGTCGGCGCTCATGTTCCTGCACCGCAACGGCGTCATCTACAGGTAACGCCACATTGCAGATTTATCGACGGGTTTATTATTTTGCCCGTCGTCCGTCTGTCTTGGAAATTTCTGCCCCGTCGCAAAACAATGCGGGCTCATCGGCAGGGACCTGAAGCTGGACAACATCCTGCTGGACGCCGAGGGCCACTGCAAGCTGGCCGACTTTGGCATGTGCAAAGAGGGCATCATGAACGGCGTGACCACCACCACCTTCTGCGGCACGCCTGACTACATCGCCCCCGAGGTGAGCGCGGGCCACACCCACAAATCGGACCATTGGCCATGAAACGCGAAAATGCCGGCACCCGGTGGTAGTCCGTTTTGGTTGAAAGGTGTCTTTTTTTGGGGGGGCGCCGGGCTTCAGATCCTGCAGGAGCTGGAGTACGGCGCCTCGGTGGACTGGTGGGCGCTGGGGGTCCTGATGTACGAGATGATGGCGGGCCAGCCGCCGTTTGAGGCCGATAACGAGGACGACCTGTTCGAGTCCATCCTGCACGACGACGTCCTCTACCCCGTGTGGCTGAGCAAGGAGGCCGTGTCCATCCTGCGAGCGGTACGCGACACGACCTTGCTTGGGGAGTTCACATTTCCGTCGAGATCGGCAAAATGTGTTCCTGCACTCACTGGTCACCTCATTAGGGACACCTGCTCAGTGATCATGTCTCGACACAAGTATCATTCTCTCTACACTGGTATTGATAATTGTTTTTCAGATTTCGTTTTTTTTTTTTTTGTAATTTTCGAAATAATTGTGTACATCATTTTTTTTTTTTTTTTTTTTGCAAAATTCTATTTTTTAATCATTACATTTTTTTCATTTTAACATTTTTTACATTTCAATGATTGTGATTTTTTTAAAAAACGTTTTAAAATAGACATTGTCCTTTTTTTTCATTCTCCTTTTAATTTGCATTTTTTTCTTCAATTCAGTCTGCCACTTCCAGTGTTGCCAAAATTTGGATCGACTCCACCACTTCCAACTGCACAGGTGTCCCTAATAATGTGTCTGTTGCTGTCTTTTCACTGGCAACGACAACCAAACGTTTCATTCATATTTCCACCCACTCAAACCCACAAAAAGTGCTCTTGATGCCATTTAGCAGTGTTAGGATTCACAAAAAAAAAAAAAAGTCAGTCAGAGGTTCCGAACACTAACAACGTGATCATAGAGCCGCAAATTGCTGTTGCCGTACTTGACGGGCGGCGGGACAAAAGCGCCGCGCGCTTTCAGCGGCCGGGAACCGGCGGCCCTCGGCTGACCCGTCTCATTAGACGCCTCTTTGCGCCATCATTGCCGCAAATGTGGCGATTAACGCCGGCCCGTTGTGTCCCCGTCATTTACCAGATGGAAGAGATAAAGAGCAGGACACTCCTCCCGGGAAATTGATGGAATGCGTTGAAGTGCCGCGCGTGTCGAGAAAAACATCACCGATGGCGCTGGCGACTGACTGAACTGCCACAGCCACGTCATGTCAAGTGCGGGATGTTGCAAACAGATTTGAATGAACCTTATCGGCGACTATCAAACGAGTCGGTCTACCTCGCATGTTCACATTTGGGCATTTGCACATTCACAGATTCGCAAATTCAATATTTTCAACTTATCCCCCTTTTTGTTTTTTTTTTTTTGTCTCACTGTCAGTCACCTCTGTTGACCAATGCAAGTTGGCTTTTTTTCTTTTAGTGGTTTCAGGCTATTTCATTGCCAAAGTTTGATGCTTCTCCACGAAACGTGACAGGAATACAGGAGATTTTCTTCTGATTCAACTTTGTGTGTGTGTGTGTGTGTGTGTGTGTGTGTGTGTGTGTGTGTGTGTGTGTGTGTGTGTGTGTGTGTGTGTGTGTGTGTGTGTGTAGTTCATGACCAAGAACCCGGCCAAGCGTCTGGGCTGCGTGGTGAGCCAAGGCTGCGAGGAGGCCATCAAGACGCACCCCTTCTTCCGCGAGATCGACTGGCTGCTGCTGGAGCAGAGGAAAGTGCGGCCCCCCTTCAAGCCACGCATTGTAAGCAGAACCCACCACTCAAAACTGCAAAGCTCCCAGAACCCCCGGCACGCCGCGCCATGTTCACTCGGCGAAGAATGACAATTCAGGCAGTAAAACGACGACCCCTGGTGGTGGCTCTGGAAGCCTTCAGTGGCATGCAATGAGTGACAGTGTTCAGATGGTGGCGCTGTCGTATTAGAATTAGTTCGAGGCAAGGTGTGCGTGGGCCAGGGGAATGTACCTCGGTGCGGTCAAGTGTGCGCGTGCGTGGCCCTTCTGTACACAATAAGGCGGCCCATCTTCAGTTTGGATTTAAATTGTCATTGTTTTTAATCGTGTAATCCGATCCAAATATTTTACTTTTTGTGGCATTTTTTAAAAAAATGATTCCTTCCGCAGAAAACCAAGCGCGACGTGAACAACTTTGACCAGGACTTCACCAAGGAGGACCCCGTGCTCACGCCCACCGACGAGGCCATCATCCGGCAGATCAACCAGGAGGAGTTCAAGGACTTTTCCTACTGCGCCCCAGAGGAGACGCACACCTAACACACTCACACACGCACACACAAAATCACACAATCACACGCACACACTCGCACTCTTTTTGACGCTATTGTGACTTTACACGCGTTGTCGTCGTCGTTCTTGTCGTCGCCTGGATTTTAGGATGAACATGGAACATCCGCTCCAATCCACTTTGACACACGTGAAGTGAAACCGGAAAGTATTCAAAATGCTTTTTGCTTTTCCCACAATTTGTTATGTGACATAAATGAAAATGCCGGGAAAAAAGTTTTTGAGACTTGACGTTAAAATGTTTTGGGGAACCGTACCCCGTTATTGGTGGGAACCCACACTTGTTTGTTTTTTAACCTGATCCCTCGCCTATTACTACAACTTTTTTTTAAAGGCAGTTAGAAGGGAGTGTCAAATATTTGCAATCTGCGGTTTCCCTGAGTCCATTTAAGATAACATATGTGGAAAAAATTAAGAGCTCTGAATACTTTCCGGATCCACCGTACACACACTCACACACGGCTTCTTCCTCTCAGCAGACCGCCTGTGTGTGTGTGTGTGTATGTGTGTATATATAGATATGTGTCGATATCTATATATAGATATATAAATCCATATATTAGCCTGTGTCGCGTGGCTGCATTGTGTCGCTGTCGTTGGCAAGCTTGTGGCGCATGGACAAGCACCCCCCCTGTTGTCTTTTAACGGCCCTCGTTATGGACCAGTTCGGGCCCTGAATCTCCCCCGTTTTGTGCAATATATCCCCCCCATCATATCTCTCTATACTCTATATTTTATGGCTTTTTTAAAAAAAAAAAAAAAAACATCGTTCTCAATTGGTATGAATGACGCTCTTGTCCATCCAATGAATGTGCAGCTTACTCACAGGCTATTGAACTAATTACGACGAGCCGGCGTTTTGTCCCGAATGTACATTTTGGCTCGTGCGCTTGCGTTTTCCAACGGTTACCAGCAGTGTTTGCCCTTCAACCCCCCCCCCCCTTGCAGCCAAACCGCTTGCTTTACTTTTTCTTTAATTTTTTCTTTCTTTTTTTTTTTTTTTTTTTGTAATTCTAATTATTATTGTAAAGTGTATTATCCGAATGACATGTTTGTGTATATCACTCTCAACTATACTATTGTAGGTCTGTTACAGCCTGAGTCTGTTACAGCCACACACACACACACACACACACACACACACACACACACACCTGTGTGGGTGCGAAAGAGGGGGACATCTGTCTAGCCATTCACACAGCATCCAGCTAGTTCTTAAAAAAATGCCGCACATAATGCGCATGCCAGAAATCGTACAGTGTACACATTTACACACAAACATAAATACACATGGACCATTGTTGCGTGCACTGTAATGGGGGGGGGGGGTAGATGTGTGTGTGTGTGCGTGTGTGAGTGCGTGCGTGTAGTGAAGCTTCGCGCAATCCAGGGATTAGCCTGAACCCGGTCACACTATCTTACTCTGTGCCAAAAAAAAAAAAAAAAGAAAAGAAAAAACTGAACTGAAAACAAACCAATGTAGTGCGATGGCATTCAGGCCCTGTCGTCTGTCTGCTGTCCGTCTGTCTGCTCTGACTCCAATAAAATGAAAAAAGAAAAAAAAGCAAAGCACCCTTGCCGGTGACAGCGCTCCTCCCGCGTCCTTCCTTCCTTCCTCTTTTTTCACGCTTGTGAGGCGGTGGCCGATGCGTGCAGAGGGGAGGGTAGGGGAGGTGGGATGCTCTTTCTCCCCTCAATGACCTTTGAACTGCAGTTCCGCTCTCATCACCGCTGTCTAATTGATGACGGACGACCGAGACGGCCGACGCTCAGCGCGATGAGAGTCGACAAGGAGAGGAGAAGGTAAATTGACTTTTATATTCAATGGCTTTTTATAAATTGCATTGTTTTGGCTGTTTGTCCAGACTCGTAATGATGAATTGACAAAGTTTATAAAAGCAGTCTAGAATTACTGTTAGGAGAGAATTAACTGAATTCAACGTTTTGGCTCCTAATTGAGTTCTAAATTTGAAGGAAACTTGCATGCGTCTTTTCTCCCCAAGCATTGACTTGAGGGGGTTTCGGTCGGCTTCAAAAGCCTAAATGCTCTCACGAAAAAATCATGAACTCTTACTTACGGAGCACTTGAAAAACAACCACAGCGGCATACAAAGTGCTGTACATAAGGTCCAACATTAAACATAAAAAGAAATGGATAAAATAAAATAGAAGCATCCCCGTGACTACTATGATGGCTTGCTTGGGAAGTGAAAAAAAAAATCTAAACTATTATTGGAGGGAATTTTGAACGGTTCCAAATGGCAAACGGTATTGGCGCAAAAACTTTCGGTTTCTGCCAGGTAGCAAAAAAAAAAATCAAGAAAAGCCAACTAGAACATCTGAATTTTATTTGGGGTGGGAGAGGATATTTTAAAACGTGGCAGGTGTGTGCTGCTCCTGTTGAATGTGAGTTGCAATGTAATTGATGAATCCTGAACACAACACATCCCCAGCTATGAGAGGGTGTGCACACTTCTGCAATCCCACTATGTTAATGTTTACTTGCTCACTGTGAGGGTGGACAAGGTTTTGTAATATTGATTTAACTTGCCGATATTTTAGTTATTTAGAATAGGGGTGTGTTGACTTTTTCTATCCACCGTATGTGACTTCATCCCACCTCTGGCTGTGCCGCATGCAGTGCATGCCAGCTCATGACATGGCAGCATTTCTCTCTGGCAGGGCGATCAGTCGCGAGGCCGCCAGGAAGCGGCGGCGAGTGGAGTCGGAGGTCTTTGGCGATTTGTGCCGCTTGCTGCCGCTGCGAGCGTCCGTCAGGGATCACCTGGACAAGCCGTCCGTCATCCGCTTGGCACTCTGCTACATCCGACTCAAAGCGCTGCTGCAAGGTGATGCGCCGCATAGCTTCGGCTTTGGGAAATTTCTTTTAAGAAATGTTCATATTTAAATATATCCATGTGGGTATTTTTTTATTGTATTTTTTTTTACTTCAAGATTGTTATTGAAATTATCTTGAATCATTGCATGATGTATATCGACTCATACAGCACAATAATAAGAAGAACATGCCGTTCCTATTTACTCACAAATACTGACGTCGTCTAATCGAATTTTGGGGAAAGTGGGTGATGTTTTGCTTCATCGCTGCATCGCAATCCACAGACGAGATGTACGTGTCAAAGATTTTCACGGGAGGACCTGACGTCCGTCTGGATGTGAAAGACGCGACGGAGGCCGCAGAGGAGTCGGAGGTCTACCTGACGATCCTGGAGGGATTTGTGATGGTGGTGTCTTCCGAGGGGGACATGATGTTTCTGTCTGACAACGTCAGCCGCTACCTTGGCCTCACACAGGTATACTCACATCCAGTTCAAGTCTATCTGATCAGACGCCATGCCAGACACTGCAGGTGTGCCCCAGGGCTTCCTCCCGGGTCCCCGGAACTTATCATCTATCTCCTCTCCATCGACCTCATTTCCTATAAATGAAATGTTCTCGATCACTTGATATTATGCCATTTTATTGCTGTCTTATGTACGTGCTGTGTCCGTGAGCATGTGGTACTACGTATAAAATGTATGATTATTCGTATGCACACACACACACAAAGGTTTCCTATAAATGAAATGTTCTCGATCACTTGATATGCCATTTTATTGCTGTCTTATGTATGTGCCGTGTAAACTGTATGATTATTCGTATGCACACACACACACACACACACACACACACACACACACACACAAAGGTAAAAATGCCTATTGAGGATTTTGTCCCCCCCCCCCCACCTCCCCCCCGAGACTGAGTTGATGGGCCACAACGTTTTTGACTTTATTCACCCGTGTGACCACGAAGAAATCAGAAGTAACCTGCGCCTTTCTGCAGGTTTGTGAGCATGTGTGTGTATGTGTGAGCAGAGTACATGAGTCATTTTTATTTTTTGTTTTTTTTTTTTGAAGAAGAAGCGTTTTGGAGCGATGCAAAGCGGGACTTTGTGGTGAGGATTAAAAGCACCCTAACTTTCCGAGGACGAAGCACCAACCTCAAGTCGGCCACGTGGAAGGTTGGTCATAAATTTGAACATTAAAAAACATTTTTTGCACTAGTATGTCTAATTTATTTTTTTCTTCTCTGTCTTTGTATTTTGCTAAAATCATAAAAATGCCTTTTGGGGTTTTTTGCCCCCCCCCCCCACCTCCCCCCCGAGACTGAGTTGATGGGCCACAACGTTTTTGACTTTATTCACCCGTGTGACCACGAAGAAATCAGAAGTAACCTGCGCCTTTCTGCAGGTTTGTGAGCATATGTGTGTATGTGTGAGCCGAGTACATGAGTCATTTTTGTTTTTTGGTTTTTTTTTGAAGAAGAAGCGTTTTGGAGCGATGCAAAGCGGGACTTTGTGGTGAGGATTAAAAGCACCCTAACTTTCCGAGGACGAAGCACCAACCTCAAGTCGGCCACGTGGAAGGTTGGTCATAAATTTGAACATTAAAAAACATTTTTTGCACTAGTATGTCTAATTTATTTTTTTCTTCTCTGTCTTTGTATTTTGCTAAAATCATATTTTCGTTATTTCATTTGCACATTTACATTTTTCACAGCCTTATTAATTTATTTTTTTTACAATTCTACTAATTTTTTAAATGATTTTTCTTCATGAGCATTTTTTGCAATTCTTTTCTTTTGTCCATTTTGTGCACGTGATGTGTCCATGTTGCTTTGCGATGGCACTGTAGGTGCTGCAGTGCCAAGGCCGAGCGAGGGCCTGCGCCGGCCCCTCCCCGTCCTCCTGCCTGCTGCTCACCTGTCGACCTCTGCCCTTGTCTCACACGCTCCTCTGCGCTCGCACCTTCGGCAGCCAGCACAACTCTGTCTTTGTATTTTGCTAAAATCATATTTTCGTTATTTCATTTGCACATTTACATTTTTCACCGCCTTATTTATTTATTTATTTTTACAATTCTACTAATTTTTTAAATAATTTTTCTTCATGAGCATGTTTTGCAAATCTTTTCTTTTGTACATTTTGTGCACGTGATGTGTCCATGTTCTTTTGCGATGGCACTGTAGGTGCTGCAGTGCCAAGGCCGAGCGAGGGCCTGCGCCAGCCCCTCCCCGTCCTCCTGCCTGCTGCTCACCTGTCGACCTCTGCCCTTGTCTCACACGCTCCTCTGCGCTCGCACCTTCGGCAGCCAGCACAACATGGACATGAGGTTCACGCAGTGCGACCACAGGTGAGCCCAAACACTCTCGCCAAGGTCACATCACACATTTTCCAACAAGTGTTGGCGAGATTTTGTGATGGTCCGATGAAACCAAGGTTGAATTTTTCAAAGTGGAGGGAATTCTGAACAGTTCATCATAGCAGGCAATGTGGATCTGGGGCCTGAGACCAAGTGGACGGAATTATGAGCAGGGGTGTGTGCACGCGTGTGTGTGTGGGTGTGGGTGTGTGAAGAGTGTCGTCAATTTTAGGGTACACCCCCCGCGAGCTGGTGGGCCGCTCCATATACGAGCTTTGTCACACGCTGGACACAATCTGTTTGACCAAATATCACATCAACTGTGAGTAGAGAAGGTGAAGCAGCATGTGACTCATCCAAGGCTTTTTAAAAAAAAAATTTAAACTGTTGTTGGTGTTTTCCAGTGTACTCCAAAAGCCAGTCGGTCAGCGGTCACTACAGGATGCTTGTGAGGGGCGGCGGGTACGTGTGGGTGGAGAGCCACAGTGCCGTGGTACCAGCGGCCCGAGGGTCCAAGTCAAGGAACAGGGCCTCGCAGCCCCTCTTGATCCTCTCCCTCA